TTACCAGGAACCACCTTTGACCCCCTCCCCAATGGTCAATCTAAACAGCCTGCATCAGCCCAGAGACCCCACCCTGCTGACTGTCATATCAAGTCCACTTGCTTTCCACCATGTTGCTTCTCTCTGCCTTCCTAAACTGCCTGGGCAGTTTGATCTCCAATAAACCTTTCATTCTACCCACAGAGTGGTCCCATTTGGTGATTTCACTGTGCCCTAGCTTACACTTAGAACATACTGCTGTTTCACCTTCCTGAAAATATCCAGTCTTAAGTTTTTATCCAGGATGGAAGGAAGCTGCTGCACAGTATACTGAAGCTCATGTGTATTTTCCTCCATCTTGGTCACTGCTCTGGAGTTCAGTTAAAGCATCATACATCTTACATGATACAGTCTTTCCAAAAGGCCTGAAGAAAGCACCCCAAAGAATTCTACTTCCCAGGGCAGGAGAGATGGCTCAGTGCTTGAGAGCATTGACCTAAGTTTGATTCCCAGTACCCACATGGTGGCTCACGTAGTCTGTACCTCCAGACCCAGGGGCTCCAAGGACCTCTTCTGACTTCTGCAGGCACCAGGCACAAACACGGTGCACATATATACATGTAGGCAAAACCCTGATACACATAAAATAAAAAAAGTCTTCAGAATTCTGTTTCTGGGAAATGTGAATAGTTGTTCACATCAGATCTCCTTCTGTAGAAATGACTGGAATTATGTGTGATTTGCTCTGGTAACTATCTGTGTCATATAACTCATATAAAGATAGGCACATAGCAAGACATGACTCAGATGTTCCTCCTCCCCACAACTCAGAGCAGCATAGCCAAGGACCCACAGAAGAAGAGTGAAAAATTAGGACATACAATACTCTCTCAATACTCTGTTGAAACCTGAGATTCTTTTTCTCGTTAAGGAACTGTAATTCTTTAGAATTAGTGTCATAACTGACACAATCTAATCAAAAGTCTTATTTTCTCTTGGTTAATGGCAATTCTTTATGACAGAATCAAAAATCATCTACTGATAAGAGTGGTCAGGAGAAGCTCACAAGCTTTGATATTGGAGAGCGCCCCTCAGCTTCAGGAAGCCCAGCCTATGGGAGTGGCTAAGCAGTGAGAAGTAGCAGGAGCTGACTGTGAAAGAAAAGTAATATGGTTTCTCCCCCTGTCTATGGGTGGAAGAATGCTGCCATGTTTTTACATTTATGGTTTTTTGTGTATGCACATATTTCATGGGCGTGAGTGAGGAGTCCCTTTAATGCTCTGCAAGGCCGGTGAGTAGTCTTACTCCATAGTAAATGCTTTTCTAAAAGCCAAGGATACCATTTCAGAAAAGAAAAGCAATAAGGGAAATGAATTAAGGAAAGCATCCATTTGTCTTGTTCGTCCATCCTTCCTTCCTTTCTTTCTGTCTATCATTTTTCCAGACTGGGTTTCATTATGTAGCCCAGGCTAGTTTTGAACACTTGGTTTTGTCTTTCTGTTGTTGTTTTGTTTGTTTGTTTTGAAAAAGCATCTCCTTACCCAAACCACACAAAGATGCAACAAAGAAAGAGAATTACAGACCAATCTCCCTCATGAACATTGATGCAAAAATACTCAACAAAATATTGGCAAACTGAATCCAAGAACACATCAAAAAAAAATTATCCGCCATGATCAAGTAGGCTTCATCCCAGGGATGCAAGGGTGGTTCAACATAAGAAAGGCTGTCAATGTAATCCACCATATAAACAAACTGAAAGAAAAAAAACCACACGATCATCTCATTAGATGCTGAAAAAGCCTTTGACAAAATCCAACACCCCTTCATGATAAAGGTCTTAGAGAGATCAGGAATACAAGGAACATAACTAAATATAATAAGGGCAATTTACAGCAAGCCAACAGCCACCATCAAATTAAATGGAGAGAAACTCAAAGCAATTCCACTAAAACCAGGAACAAGACAAGGCTGTCCACTCTCCCCATACTTATTCAGTATAGTACTTGAAGTTCTAGCTAGATCAATAAGACAACAAAAGGAAATCAAAGGAATAGAAATTGGAAAGGAAGAAGTCAAACTTTCACTATTTGCAGACGATATGATAGTATACATAAGTGACCCAAAAAATTCTACCAAGGAACTTCTACAGCTGATAAACTCCTTCAGTAAAGTGGCGGGATACAAGATTAACTAAAAAAAAAAATCAGTAGCCTTCCTATACACAAATGATAAAAGGGTTGAGAAAGAAATCAGAGAAACATCACCCTTTACAATAGCCACAAATAATATAAAATACCTTGGAGTAACACTAACTAAACAAGTGAAGGACCCGTATGATAAGAACTTTAAGTCCCTGAAAAAAGAAATTGAAGAAGATATCAGAAAATGGAAAGATCTCCCATGCTCATGGATAGGTAGGATTAACATAGTAAAAATGACAATCTTACCAAAAGCAATCTACAGATTCAATGCAATCCCCATCAAAATACCAACACAATTCTTTGCAGACTTGGAAAGAACAATACACAACTTCATATGGAAAAACAAAAAACCCCAGGATAGCTAAAAGAATCCTGTACAATAAAGCAACCTCTGGAGGCATCACCATCCCTGACCTCAAGCTTTATTATAGAGCTACAGTAATAAAAAACAGCTTGGTACCGGCATAAAAACTGACATACAGACCAGTGGAATTGAATTGAAGACCCAGACATTAATCCATGCACATATGAGCACTTGATTTTTGACAAAGAAGCCAAAACTATACAATGGAAAAAAGAAAGTATCTTCAACAAATGGTGCTGGCATAACTGAATGTCAATATGTAAAAGATTACAAATAGATCCATATCTGTCACCATGCACAAAACTCAAGTCCAAGTGGATCAAAGACCTCAACATAAATGCAGTTACACTGAACTTGATAGAAGAGAAAGTAGGAAGTACTCTTGAACACATTGACACAGGAGATCACTTCCTAAATATAACACTAGTAGCACAGACACTGAGAACAATTAATAAATGGGACCTCCTGAAACTGGGAAGCTTTTGTAGGGCAAAAGACATGGTCAATAAGACAAAAAGACAGCCTACAGAATGGGAAAAGACTTTCACCAACCCCATATCGGACAGAGGACTGATCTCCAAAGTATATAAAGAACTCAAGAAACTAGACATCAAAATACTGAACAATCCAATTAAAAAATGGGCTAAAGAGCTAAACAGAGAATTCTCAAAAGAAGAATCTCAAATGGCTGAAAGACATTTAAAGAAATGCTCAGCATCCGTAATCATCAGAGAAATGCAAATCAAAATGACTCTGAGATACCACCTTACACCTGTCAGAATGGCTATGATCAAAAACACTAATGACAGTCTATGTTGGAGAGGATGCAGAGCAAAGGGAACACTCCTCCACTGCTGGTGGGAGTACAAACTTGTACAGCCACTTTGGAAATCAGTCTGGCGGTTTCTCAGAAAATTGGGAATCGATCTACCTGAAAAAGCATCTCCTTTTGTAGCCCCTGTTAGTCAAGAACTTGCTGTATACACAGGCCAGCTTTGAACTCTCAGATGCCTGCCTGCCTCTGCCTTCTGAGTGCTGGGATTACAGGCGTGCACCAGCACACCCACCCCTGGTTTTGAACTCTCAGATGCCTGCCCCTCTGCCCTCTGAGTGCTGGGATTACAGGCGTGCACCAGCATACCCACCCCTGGTTTTGAACTCTCAGATGCCTGCCCCTCTGCCTTCTGAGTGCTGGGATTACAGGCGTGCACCAGCACACCCACCCCTGGTTTTGAACTCTCAGATGCCTGCCCCTCTGCCCTCTGAGTGCTGGGATTACAGGCGTGCACCAGCACACCCACCCCTGGTTTTGAACTCTCAGATGCCTGCCCCTCTGCCCTCTGAGTGCTGGGATTACAGGCGTGCCACCAGCACACCCACCCCTGGTTTTGAACTCTTAGGTTCAGTCGGTCCTGTTGTCTTAGCCTCTCTAGTAGTACAGGCATACTACTGTTTTCCTTTTCTTTGTAAACTGTCAGGGAATAAGAAAATATTCAATTAGCAAAAAGAATAATACATTTTAAGAATGTTTATACTTGCTGTTTGTTATCATGGCTTACTTGCTTTACCTGGAATTTTAGATTTGTAAAACCACCAAACTCGAACACTCTGTGGGTAGAAAGGTCTTTTTGGGGATTCATATTGTCAAGCTGTTTCTCGGGGAGCAGAGAAGAGCAAAAAAGCAGGAGACACCTGGGCAGTGTTAAGGGGACAGGTAACATTGTAGGGGGAAGGTAGGTCAGGGGGACATGTGACCCAGAACAGCCTGGGAACCAGCATGGGGACTTTGATCAGTTACAGGCTGTGTGCTGGAGGTAATTGCTGTGAGGGCAGAGAAGGAAAGTAATGGCCTTTTCTGACAAGCAGAAACCTGCTTCACAAGATTTGTGAGGAATTCTGAGTTTAGGTTTTGTTTGTACACTAGCAGTCTTTCTGTTTACCCAGAGTCCACCCTGAGCAGAGCCTAGACTGTCATTGAGGACATTGTCCGCAGCACTGCCATTTTGGGGCCCTCTAGACCTAATAGTATTCAAACTTAGATCTAGGACCAACTGAGATTAGATTTAATACATAAGCAATATCTTTTTCTCCTCAATGGATGTATTGTAGCAAAATACTGTATTTAATTGAAATGCCATTTGGAGGAATCACACTACAAATGCTCTTAATGTGTTAATTGAATAATGAATCTTTAAGTAGTAATAATATACTTCCAAAGACTGTCTAACAAGGATGCTAGGATAAGTTCAGAAAGTAGCTGTGACTGTTAGTGTTGTCAACTTGGCAGAATCAAGACTCACTTGGGAGCTGGGCCTCTGGGATTAGCTTGATTTAGTTAATTGGGATGGGAGGCCCATCCATTATGGGTCCCACCATTCCCTGGCTGGAATATTGGACTGCACCTGGAGAAAGAGCCGAGCAGCAGCAAGCGTTACTCTCTTTCTTGGTTGCAGATGTAATGGGACCTGCTGCTTTACTTCTGCCCCCTTGACTTGGGTGATGGCCACTCTTGGTTGCCAACTGGACATCCTAGGGAAAGGAACCCTCCATTGAAGAGCTGCATCTGTCAAGGTCAAGAATTGGCCTGTGAGCATGTCTGCGTTTTCTTAATGCTAGTTGATATTAGTAAATACCTAGTCCATGTGGGTAGCTCTACCCCTGGGCAGATAGTCTTGGGTCGTTTAAGAAAGCTGGTTGAGTACAAGCCAGAGGGAGCAAGCCAGTGAGCAGTGTGTTCCTCTGTGGTTTGCACTCAAAGCTCTGCTTTGAGTCCCTGCCCTGCCCTTCCCCCGGTGATGGATGGTGACCTGCAAGTATAAGTTGAAATAAGCCATTTTGATCATGGCATTTATCACAACAGGAGGGTATACTGGGACAACTTCCCTGCTGTGATGGACTCTGTCTTAGTTAGGGTTTCTACTGCTGTGAAGAGACACCATGACCAACCATAGCAACTCTTATAAAGGAAAACATCTGATTGTGGCTGGCTTACAGTTCAGAGGTTTAGTCCATTACCATCATGGCAGGAAGCATGGTGGCATGTAGGCAGATGTGGTGTGGAGAGGTAACTAAGAGTTCTACATCTGGTTCTGCAGGCACCCAAGACAGACCTGAGCTACTAGGTCTGTCTTGAGCTTCTGAATCTCCCCTCCCCTCAGTGACACACTTCCTCCCACAAGGCCACACCTCCAATAATGCCACTCCCTATAAGTCTAGGGAGGCCATTTTCATTCAGACCACCACAACTCTGTACCCTTGAATTGTGAGCAGAAATAAGCCCTTGTCCCTTAAGAGGTTAGTCAGGATATTTTATCACTGCAGCAGGATGGTGGCTTAGTGGTGGTGTGTATTTATCAGGAACCAGGTCTCGGGCTCACTGTAGCACCAAACAGACAAAAACACCAAGAATTCCAGGATGAAGAGTAGCATAGGGCCTCCTTTATGTCACCGTTCGCTCCCTAGTGATGAGCAGAGCTGGCTGACAGTGCGTATGTTTGGGGTGTGTAGGTAACTTGAACACTTGCTATTTGTTCACTGGTGTCTGAGATGTATGTTCCTCTAGTTGTGGTGCCAGGAGAAATTGGTGAAAATGGATACATGGAGCTGACTTCCGGCAGGAATAGTGGTTTATTACCTTGGTTCTCTTTACACACCCATTAAGTGAGTTGAAGAACTCCCATCTCAAGTATATGTTATTTATTCAGCTCATTTTCAAAGATTACAAAAGAATTCATACTGTGTTTTTTAAAAGAAAGAATGAAAACTATAAAAAACATACAAAATGTTAGTAAGATCTCTGAGCCCTACCACTGATACTGATTTTTTTCAAATCATTTTCCTTGCAGATACAAACAGAACTACACAAGGTGTGGTATCTGCAGCAACATTTTGTGTGGTATCTGCAGCAACATTTTGTGTGTCGCTTGTGTGTGTTGCTTTGCCACTGCACTAGTCCCAGGCATCTCCACCGCTCCTTAGATACAGACGTGACTAATATTTCCAGCAGCCACATTGTATGTATTGTGTCCCTAGGCAGTTGTTCTTGCATTGATGACATTGACATGTCTCTTCTTTGTCTGCACCACTGCAAACATTCCAGAAAAACATCTGTACTTCTGTGTGTATTCTTATATGCTGATGCTTTTGTTCTTGTTAGCCCCCAAAGCAAAAGTTTATTGCAAAGAGTATGCATATTTTATCTGGGGGCTTTGGAGTAAATACAGGACCTTGCTCACACAGAACATGAGCTCTACCCCAGGCTATACTCCCAACCCTGTATTTTAATTTTTAATTAGCAATTACTGAATCACTTTTCAGAAAGTTGTAGCCATTCCCTTTTACTAACAATGCGTGGTGCTTCTTTGCCTACATCCTTGCCATCCCTGGATATTAACAGTCTTTAATTTTCCTCAACCTGATTTTAAAAAGGATTTCTATTATTATTTTGCTCTGTGTTCTTTTGTCTGTAATGTTGAGTGTAGCTGGAGTTATCTCCAGTCCTGCCCAGCCCCACGGACCCCACAACCGCTTATAAAATAATCGCTCAGAAGCTTATATTAATTAAACTGCTTGGCCATTAGCTCAGGCCTACCACTGACTAGCTCTTACACTTAAACTCAGCCCATTTTTGTTAATCTATATGTCGCCATGTGTTCCATGGCTTTACCTGTGTGCCATTACATGCTGCTCCCTGGACATCAGGCTGGCGTCTCCTCACTCAGCCTTCCTGTTTCCAGAATTCTTTTCTCTGATTGTCCTGCCTATACTTCCTGCCTGGCTACTGGCCAATCAGCATTTTATTTATACAGAGTGATATCCACAGCAGTTGAGTATGTTGTCATATGTCTAGCATCTATTGACATGTATTCTTATCAGTTGTCTATGACATCTTGTACATGTTACTTTTTATTGAATAGTTTAGGATTTTTCGTCAACTTACAGCTTTTTATTAGAGAAATTTTAAGCCTAGGTATTGCCATTTATTACCATTTAAACTTTGTTAGTGATGCTTTTTTTCCTTTGGGAGGATTTTTATTTTGTGTGTTTAATGTGTCAGTCTTGTTATGCATTTATTTTAGGTTTCCTACTTCTAACATGTTAGAGCCTCTCTAAAAATATCCTATTGTTGTGGAATATTAGTGAAGATGTGTTATATTTGTTTATGCTGTGGAATACTTGTTTAATGATGCAAAGACATGTTGCATTCTTTATGGTTTTTTTTTTTTTTTTTTTGCTTAACTCTGTGAAGCTGTGTTACTGTGCCTGTCTAAAACACCTGATGGTCTAATAAAGAGCTGAATGGTCGGTCAATAGCAAGGCAGGAGAAAGGATAGGCAGGGCAGGCAGACAGAGAGAATAAAGAGAAGGAGAAATCTGGGAAGAGGAGGTCGGGGAGTGAGGAGAACATCAGGGGCCAGCCACTCAGCTACACAGCCAGCCACAGAATGAAAAGTAATGAAAGGTATCTAGAGTAGAGAAAAATAAAAGCCAGAGGCAAAAGGTAGACAGGATAATTTAAGTTAAGAAAAGCTGACTAGAAACAAGCCAAGTTAAGGCCAAGCGTTCATAAGAAAGAATAGTCTCTATGTATTTATTTGGGAGCTTGGGAACTGGGTGATGGGTCCCTAAAGAGAAAAGAGAGAAAAAACAAAAACAAAAAAAACCAATGACAACCAACTACATCCTACCTACTCTCAGTTTTGTTTTGTTTTTTCCCTCTTTGGGTTGTTGATGTTGTTTTGTATTAACACTGAATTTGTAACCTAATTGAAATGTATTTGTATGTGGTAAAAATCAGGATCGAATTGCTCTTTATTTTATTCTTATTATTTCTTTACTTTGTTGGGGTCCATGCCCCTCACACATGTGGAGGTCAGAGGATGACTTGCAGGAGTCAGTTCTTCACTTCTACCTGTGGATCTCATGGATCACACTCAGGCTGTCCGGCTTGTCAGCCAGCGCCTTACCTGGTGGACATCTCTATTGCTCTGACTCTCCTTTCCTGGTAAGGGTGTGTGTGTGCGTGTGTGTGTGTGCGTGTGTGTGTGTGTGTGTGTGTGTGTGTGTGTGTAATATTTACACAGTTATCATGGGATTGAAAAGTTAACCATGTTTTCATCACATTAATTCAAGTTGTCACTAGGATGAGAATTGGATATAGGATTCCCCACACAAAAGAACAAATTGCAAAAGCTTATATGCTTTTAAAACATTTTGTGATGCTGGCTGTTTTGTTTTTGTGTTTAAAATTTTATATGTATAGGTGTTTTGCCTATATGTATGCTTGTGCTCATCAGATCTCTTGGGACTGGAGTTACAGGTGGTTGCGAGCTGCTGTGGGATGGTCTGTATGTCAAATGTGTTGCTGATTGGTCAATGAATAAATCACTGATTGGTCAGTGGCCAGGCAGGAAGTATAGGCGGGACTAACTGAGAGGAGAATTGAGAGAACAGGAAGCTGGGTGAGGGAGACACTGCCAGCCGCCATCAGGATAAGGAAGATGTAAAGTACCGGTAAGCCACAAGCCACGTGGCAAGGTATAGATTAATAGAAATGGATTAATTTAAGCTGTAAGAACAGTTAGCAAGAAGCCTGCCACGGCCATACAGTTTGTAACCAATGTAAGTCTCTGTGTTTATTTGGTTGGGTCTGAATGGCTGTGAGACTGGCGGGTGTCAGAGATTTGTCCTGACTGTGGGCCAGGCAGGAAAACTCTAGCTACAGCGAGCTGCCATGTGGTTGCTGGGAATAGAACCCAGGTCCTCTGCAAGAGCAGCCAGTGCTCTAAAACACTGAGCCATTCTCCAGTCCAATGCTGAGTGTTTTTATTTTTTTATTTTTCTGTAGTGTGGAAAAATGAGACAATTTTTTTTGGCAGTTTTGAATAGCAGAGTTTTCCTATAAAAATAGGAAATAGAGTAAATAATTTAAGCTTAGTGTGCCACATTGTCTCTGCCACTCTAACCTGATATAAAATAGACGATATAAAAATGAGTGTGCCTTTATTCCAATCCATCTTTGATAAAGGAAACAGGTGCAAGCCAGATTTGATCCAGCAGTTGAAGTCTGCTGCTTATTTATTTATTTATTTATTTATTTATTTATATTTTTGGTTTTTTTGAGACAGGGTTTATCGATGTAGCCTCAGCTGTCCTGGAACTCTCTGTAGACCAGGCTGGTTTCAAACTCACAGAGATCCACCTGCCTCTGCCTCCCAAGTGCTGGGACTAAAGGCATGTGCCACCACTGCCTAGCTCTTTTTTTTTTTTTTTTTAAATAGCAAAGGACATCCTTGCTGCCTCTTCTTCCTCCTCATCCTCCACCACCTTCTCCTTTTAAAATTTCTTTTATTATTTTGTGTATGTGGGTGTTTTGTCTACATATGTCTGTATGGTGTGCTCTCAGAGGCTAGAAGAGGGTGTCAGACCCTTTGGTATGGGAATTACAGACAGTTGTGAGCCACCATGTGGGTGTTGGGGATTGAACCTGGGTCCTCTGGAAGAACAGCTGGTGCTCCCAACCTTTGAGCCAACCCCCAGTCCTGCTGCCAATTTCTAGTCTACATAGGCCCAGTCTCTGTCTCTTGACCTCTGTATGTAAACCAGTGTTCTTACAATTGTCTTACCTGCATCAGACTGGTCCACGGGCATGTCTGTGGGGCATTTCCTTGATTGCTAACTGAGAGAGGATGACTCACTCCACTGTGAGGTACCGTCCCTGCAGGTGGGGCATATGCTGTAGAAAAAGCCAGCAGAGGGAGTCTGAGGGAGCAGGCCAGCAAGCATTATTCCCCCTTGGTCTCTGCCCCAGTAATCTACCTGAAGGCTCCTACCCTGGCTTCCCCATAGACTGAAATGATCCTTTCTGAAGTTGCTTTTGGTCAGTGCTTTATCACAGCAACGTGCAGCAAACCAGTACAGTCATTTAACTTGTTCTTTTTGTCCATGGCCTGTGAAGTGAAACAATTGTGAACATTTTGTTAATGAATGTTTTAAACAGAAGCTTTGCTTCAGGAGAAGAAAAGAAATGTCTAGTCTGTGATTACTACATGGGCTTTTAAAGAATGTAGCCCCTGAGAGGAGGGGACCAAGGTCTGGGTATAACGAGAAATATTCCAAATTAGGGGATTAACACTTTAGTTTTTCGCAGATCATATGGCACAGTCTGATTAGCTACTGAAGTATGTCAGTTTTAAAAAATTTTTAGTTAGTGTTTTTCTATTTTCTTTTAAGTATAGCAAAATTTAAAACTTTGGCTTCTGGGGCTGGCGAGATGGCTCAGAGGTTAAGAGAGAGCAGTGGCTGCTCTCGCGGAGGACCCAGGTTCGATTCCCAGCACCCGCATAGTGCCTCACAGCCGCCTGTAACTCCTGTTCCAGGTGATCTGATGCCCTCTTCCGACCTCCACAGGGACCAGGCACACAGAGTGAACACAGCATTCATACAATAAAAAGAAATTAAGATGCAAATTTAAAAGTAAATAAATAAATAAAACTTGGGCTTCTAGGTTATTTTGATAATTTTTTCCCTTGATAACCACATTTCCATTGTCATAAGTCAGGAAAGTAGAAGGCTTGCACAATAATGTCTCAATTCATTTAAAAATATCCAGGGACTGGAGAGTTGGCTTGACAGTGAAGAGCAGTGGCTGCTCTTCCAGAGGACCTGGCTTCAGTTCCCAGCACCCACATGGCAGCTCATAATAAATAATCATCTATAATTTCAACTCCAGGGGATGCAAAGCCCCCTTCTGGCCTCCATCTGTGGCCTAACCAGGCCACTCAAATGGTACACTGACATATATTCAGGCAAAATGCTCATATACATAGTATAAAATAAAATAAAAATAATTGAAAAAGAATCACTCATTTCTTTCTTTCTTTCTTTCTTTTTGTTTTTTTGTTTTGGTTTTTCGAAACAGGGTTTCTCTGTGTAGCTTTGGAGCCTGTCCTGGAACTCACTCTGTAGCCCAGGCTGACCTTGAACTCACAGGGATCTGCCTGCCTCTGCCTCTTGAGTGCTGGGATTAAAGGCGTGCACCACCACTGCCTGGCTCATTCATTTCTTTTGATCTCTGAAAAAAGGCTCTTTTGGCTGGGTGAGGTGGTGCACACTTTTAATGTCAGCCCTTGGGAGGTAGATCTCTGAGTTCAAGGCCAGCCTGGTCTATAGAGTGAGTTTTAGGACAGCCAGAGCTACCTGGAGAAACCCCGTCTCAACCATCACCCTTTCTCTCCAAAAAGGCTCTTTTGCCAGGCATGATGGCTCACACCAGCACCTGTGATCCCAGCCCTTAGGAGGCTGAGGCAGAAGAATGACTGTAAGCTTGAGACTTTGCCTCAGAACAGAGCAGAAGGACTCACTGGCTTTTTGAAAAATAATTTGATGAGATTTTGCCATCTTCAGTGGTTTCCTGTTGTTCAGTGTGCCTCACCTCACTGGTGTTTTCCAGTGCTCTGTAACTGTTGTAATTGGCCGATTTAGATTTTAATTTTTTGTTTGTTTTGGTTGCCATTTCCAAGCATAGACTTTAGAAAACTCTAAGTAGGAAAAATGACGTCAGAGTAATTGCACTGATCAGTGATAATTAAGCCCTTTCATCTGTGCCTCTCAAAGAGCTCTGAGAACATTGTTTCATAATTCCCAGATTGCCTCTGAAGTGGTGAGCAAGTGCCATTACCCCAATTTACAGAAGTAGTTGTGGTCTCTAAGAGGAGTGTTGAGCTTCACACAGAGTTAAAAGCAAAGGTGGGGATGGATTTAGGAAAAGCCTGTCTGTTGTCTTTCTGGATCTTTCCAGGTCCGTGGAGTTTTTAATAGTCAGACCTTTTCTCAAGTCAAAAGCTTAGAAACCTGAAACTTTCTTTTCTGTTGGGAAGATTCTTTGATTAGCAATAGCTGTGTTTGGGTGAACTTCATTGGCTATGATGCTGCCACCGCACAGAGCTTGAAAATTTCTAAATGAAATTCTGTGCATTTCGTGCCAACTAAACATTTCTAGTAGGTTCTTTGTCAGTGATGGTGCTTAATCAAACCATTTAAGACTTCACATGGACACTGACACCTGTCGTGCGCTGTCACTCAGTGCCCTCATGTAAACAGCCCCTTCTTGGTACACGTTACCTCCCTGTTGCACCAATCACCAAACCTCAGTGAGATGCCAGTATTTATGTCGTTAACTTTTGGATAAGGAGATTTCTGCATGTAAACCAACAATCTCATGTGGGGGAGTTTTCTTAAGTCACATTCCACCAATAGCAAAATGTATTGTCTGCCTCAATCTTGTTGGAGATTGCTGTTGTTGTGTTCTGTCCCTCTGAAGGAGTCTAGTCTTTCAGCAAGCTAGGCTATCTACCCTGCTTCCTCCCCACAACTACCAGGCATATTTCTACTCCAGGTCTTTGCTCATCGAGTTTATTCAACCTAATACATCCTGTTTCCCATCTCTAGAGAGCAAGGTCCAACGTAATGCTTCTGCATTATCAGACATGCATCTATGTCAGTAAGTTTTCTTTAAAATAAGCAATTCAGCCTTTTAATTTTATGTGTATTAGGGTTTTGCCTGCATGTGTGTGTGTATCAAGTGTGTGCAATGCCCACGGAGGCTGGAAGAGAGCACTGTATTCCCCCGGAACTGGTGTTAACACACAATTGTGAGCTGCTGTGAGGGTTCTGAGGACCAAACCCAGGTCCTCTGCAAGAGTCTCAAATGCTCTAACCACTGAGCATTCTCTCTAGCCCCCTTGGGCAAGTTTTTAATCTCATTAATAAAAGTTGTTTTGTTTTGTTTTGTTTTTTAAAGGAAACTCCAGGACAGTTTTATTGGGTTTTGAGAAAACATAACAGGCCAGATAAACTGAGGTTCTTAGCAGCAGCCAGGAAAAGTGAGGAAGAGCAAGTTCCCATGTAGCTAGAGTTTTCCTGCCTGGCCCACAGTCAGGACAAAGCTCTGTCACCTGCCAGTCCCACAGCCGCTCAGACCCAACCAAGTAAACACAGAGACTT